TCTCTCAACTTGTATCTGAATTAATAATGACAACACAAATTAAGGCTTTAAAATGTATATGCATACACGGATTACTACAAATGTCACTCGCCTCAATAACAAAATGACGTCTCTAAATAAAACTGGGACACACTCCTACTCTCTTTTTAACCTGCCCTTCTTTCTCAACCATTTTAAGCAACAGCACACCCCTTGGAACAAATGAAAATATCATGGGACACTTAGCAATATTTTTAAAGGGTATACATTTAAATGTTATGAAATAAAACCATAGATTTTTACAAAATGTACATACAAATATACTTACTTTATTTCAATGTTTCTATTCAACTATTTGTGCAGCTTATTTAGTGCAAAACCTGTGCCTAGTGTTTTTTTGTTGGTTTTTTTTTTGTTTTGTTTTGTTTTTTGTTTTGTTTTGTTTTTTGTTTTGTTTTTTGTTTTGTTTTGTTTTGTTTTTGCAATTTCTTCAATGTTTGGTCAAATGTGCAATAAGCAGACCCTCATTTCTTCTTCAGTTGAGCGTAGTCTTTCTTGCTTATTTTTGATGTTATTTAGGGTTGAGAAGCCTAATTCACATTGCAATAAAACTGATAAAGACTTTTTAGCTAATGTGGGATATTCCTTTTGTATTAAAATCCCAAATGTGTCAATGGGTACCATCAAATGTTTTATTTTGAGCCCTCAATCACTAGAAATAGCGGCCAGTTCTTCTCCTCATAACTAAAGTCCAATATTACAAGCAACATTATGAAGGGAATTTAAAACCATATATACGCTCTCATATATATATATATATATATATATATATATATATATATATATATATATATATATATAAAATGCCGTGATAATTTTGCAGTACACTGCAGCATGAGCAATTCAGAATCACTGTTCTAACAAGTAACACTTAATTAAAATTATTTGATAAACCATGGCTGTATCTGAAAATCTTTTTTTATCTTTATATATATTGTTGTTCTTTGTAGACGTTTTTTGCTTGAAATTTAAATATTTTTGTCTCAAACAAGTTTTGTTTTAACACTAGTTCCTCTGCACCATCAAAAAAAAATGGCTGCAATATTTTGTAGTTGCATCAGTGCACAAGTTGTATAGGATTTTTATCTAGACAAGTAATTCTATTGCTGCATGCAAGAAAGAATTTTCTATTATAAATCATTAAAAGTAAAAAAAAAAAATAAAAAAAAAAAAAAACACAAAACAAAAGAAATAAAAAACATATTAGCAGCCTAATCTCCTCTACTTACTAATGAATGATTACTGGCATAAAGTAATGCCTCCAGTTATCATAACATCATAATCATTTCATTCTGTCAAATAAGGGAGATAAGGATGTGTGACCAGTAAATATATAAAGTTACATATAGATTTTTTTCCTTGCTGAAAATTGTTTTTTTTTAATAAATTCCATGGTAACTTAAGATTTGTTACAAAAACAAACATTTTTATGAAATATATATGACGTTTATATGTGTAAAAAAAAAAAAAAAAAAAAAAAGTAAAATTAAGCACACACAGTTTTAGATGTGTTTTTCTGTTTTTAATCAGGCAAAAAGTAATAACTTTTTTTTACAATGCATTAATTTCTAACTTTTATGCGTAGATATTAGCAATGAATATGTTGATATGAACAAACCACAGTCATCAACTGTTTGCTCTCTCTCTTTTTCTCTCTCTCTCTCTTAATCCGTATTTATTGCACAAAAGAGAATTTATATGTTAAATATATTAAACATTTTTTTTTTGTCTATATAAATTTGCCATGATATCTTTCATTTCGATCCTATTAAGTTTTGTTATCCTAGCTGCTGACTGTTGCTGTCACATCAAGATACTCTTTTAGTCCCTACGTCACCTTTTGAACTGATTACAAGTTGGCTAATCAGGTTTTGCTATGAATCTGACATTCTATCTACATTGGTTGATTACTTAAATATAATCTCAATTTACAGATTACTAACAATCATTTCTTTTTATATTAACCTCTATTCATTTTTTTACTCTTCTATTTAATATCTCTTGTCTTCCAACTGATTTTGAAGTATGTTTCTATTTTTATGGATACATGATCAAGTGGCTTGAACAGGAGACCAGGGTTCAAATCTCACTCTTGTTCAAGGAGGTGACTTTTTCATGATATCGGCCTGGGAGAGATGATCCCAGTGGGCAGCACCATTGGGAAGCCCTTGAAAGTCATACGTAGGTTAACCCAAGCCTTGTCAGTGAAATTGGGTAAAGAAAACTGTTTAGAAGCCATCGCTGGTTGTGCTAGCATGAAGTCTCAAGTCATCGTGACTGAGCATTTGAGTGTACTGGCCTTGCTCAAACTGTTGATGTCAGATTAGGTACCCTCCCCTAGAAACTGTAACTAAGGACCACTCCCTATACTGCATAATTGCAGTATAAAGCACAAGTATACTCTGAGAGTGTTAAATAGGTGCAAATGTGCCTGAGCAGTTGTCTGCAATAAATAAAAAGCTATCCTAGTAGACTCCACAGTTTCCCGAGACTAATGAATGCTTACATGCCTGTATTTGTAACTAGAAAACTTTCTTATTTGACAGATATGTATCTATTTGTAACTGCAAAAAGCTACAAATAAAAATTTCTGTGGGTTATTGCAAAACTGTGACATTTTTGTTTTTGAATTCTTTGTGTTCTTTTGCTTCATCAAAATGTCATCGAATGATTTTGTAAACGCCCCTATCCCAGGATATCTTTGCTAATTTTCTTTTGAGTCTGTTCTAAATACTTACACCAGTGTTTCTTGGCAACTGTCCATCTTCTTGTCTGAACAGACATTTTGAAATTCCAGAAACTTCCAAGTTATGTGCTGGCTAGAGAATGAATCCTAACAACTTGTAAGAGAGATGGCAAGATATCAACACTAGTTTGTATTGGTCTAAGATGGAATTGATGAGGAAACACAAATGTTGCGTGTCTATGCATAAATTACCTGTGTTTGATACACACACACATACACACATAAAATGAATGGGCAAAACCACAAATCCTACCTTTTGATTCCAGTTAGCATTAGAAGAACTCTGTCGTAAGAGTACCAAATATAATTCCTAATGAAATTATAGGAGTTGTTATTTTAAAATTATTAATAGATCAATGTTATATTTCTTGTTAATATTTTACTTGGATGAGGACACAGCAAATAAAAACCTGTGCAAGGTAAAAAGAAATCTTTCCCCAAGTAAACGGCAACACCTGCTGCTGCATATTTTTCTTTTTTTTTTTCTAAGATTCTGTACAAGATTTCTGTACAAATTAGTTTGCAATTGAAAAAAAAAAATTCTGTAACTTATTTATTAGTAGCAATTTATTCATCAGCCAATTGTTGATTGTTAATGTTGTAACATTAGGACTGCCTGAATTGAACTGTTTTACAAAGTTTGTAATGAAGTTTAAATTTAGAAAAACAATGAAAAATGAAACCTCGGTTAGAAATGTTTTATGTTCTACAAACAGTTTGTATCTGAAAATTCCTATTTGAGTTCATTTTTTTTATTACATCATTTTGCATAGTCCTATGGAATTAAAATCATTCTCCCTTTTCTTTTTGACAGAGACCTGCTTTCTCATTAGATTGGAAACACAAATTAGGAAAATTATGTTTTTTCTTTTATTATGGGGAGAGAGCTATGAAAGAAAGATTTATTCTCCCCATTATTTTCCCCTATTATGGTGTTATTATATCTGTAATATAATAACACTGTAATTCACAGACAGAACAGAATGGCTGAAAGGAAAAAGAATAACAAGCAAGCATGATCCTCAGGGTGACTTTTATACGACTAAGATACGCATGTCCCACACAGAGAATAATATACCACATATATCTAAACAGTAAAGCAGATTGTAAGGAGAGACAAAAAGGAAGGGCCTTAAATATAATATGGAGATACTCCTCTGTCTGGAGAAGCCATGTTTAGGACACCAGATTCAAAAGGGCTGGATTCATTTGTGTCCCAGGCAAGGATGGAGGACTGTCAGCTGGAGTTACTTTCTATATCTGGGCAAGATATATTTTAAAAGGGAAATGGCACCATATGCTTGTAAGCTGCTGGGGAAGGTAGATTTAGCCTCTGCCTGGGCTAAAGAAAGTCACGGTTTGGTTTTGCTGCTGTAAAACAAATTGAAATTGACTACTACTGTTGTTACTGTACGGAGTGACTTCACTAAGCAGTCCATCAAGTGATCCACACAACTTATGTCTACGAAAGGGAGATAATTACCTTCTATATCCCTACAGGAGCCTAACTAAAATGTAGGCATTATTTTCTTGTTTTCTTATGTATCTAACTTTTTGATGCTCCTCCCTAAAGTCTAAAGTTAAACTTATCTGTAAATACATTAATGATTCTTGTTGATCAGGAAAAATGATCCATTTCATCTAACAAAGCCCACAACAAAACTTTGATGTGGTTTCAAATATGTTATTCATAACCAGCATTTATGCCTTTTAACAAAAACAACAACAACAACAACAATAAACATTTAGCAGAATATAAGATTTTATTTAAATGTTGAGCAGATCAGCCTGGATCATTTACACATGATTTTCTTTTCACATTGTTTTTGTCCACTTGTTCAAAGTGATAATTCTCATCAAATTAAAAGTTGAAATAGTGTTTGTTTGTTTTTGTTTTTTTTTTTTGTTTTTTTGTTTTTCATTTCCTTGTCTAATTCCTAAATTGTAAGAATGTACAAATCTACTGAAATTCTCTGAGATTTGCAAGTTTAACTATTATCTGTCGGCCCTTTCCTGGTAATTTTTAAATCCAGTCAGATAATTTTAATGTGCATGACTAATTTTTTATATGACCTGTTGGATACAATGGGTTGAATAGAATATTTGATAATATTTTTCATTGTGTCAAAGAAACTATGCAGGGTATTTACCTGCAGTCTGTTTTTTTTTTTCTCTCTCTTAGTTTCAGTGAATGAATGTTTGTTATTATCCACAGTGGGACGTCTGTGTACAATTTGAATGAAGAGGATGAAGAGGAAGAGGACGATGACGTCCTTGCCAGAGAAAAAGTTGATGATAACAATAAACTTAAAGAGAAAGTGCAAGAACTTCGACTCCGAATGGAGCATCTCAATTTGAATAAAAAGGTATGACTATTACTTTTGTATGTCATTCATTTATATTGCTTTTATAAATTGTTTGGTGTGCAAAAACAAAATTCCTATTTCAGTATTAAAATATTTTACTTTGTAAATGTTATTGCACAAACCTCCACTGAAAATGTTTTCCATTGAATACAAATTAAATTTGAATTTGAACAAGCAAATGACTCCTATCCAAAATATAGAAGGAGAAAGCCAGAAGATGGAGGTCGCATCAGCAAGATCATTGAGTAATATTGAAATGCATAAATTTTCTCCACAGGTTATAACAATGATTTAAAACCAACCATTTTCTTAGAAAAAAAAAAATGTGTGACATGCAGCAAGACAGGTAATTCAGCTAGTATACACACACACACACACACATATATATTATAAATTAATTTTAATTGCAACTTCAAAATATTTTCATTAAAGTTGTAATTAAAATTGTAGTTAATTAAAATGAATTCTAACCTAAACTTCTTTTAAATTGTAATTAAATAAATAAAGTCTACTAAATCAGAGAAATGAAAATTTTACTTTAGTAATATTTAAATATAAAATTTTTAAAAATCATAATATACTTGATGTGATAATAATTCTACAAACTGTAAGGGATTCTAATTACATTTAATTGTTCTTGAAAGAAATATAGTATATTAAAAATTAAATGTAAAAATATTTCAAATCGTAGTTAAATAAAAAGTATTCTTACCTAAACACCCCTGCAAAAAAATCTTTAATTATACAAAGGAAAAAAATGCCGTAAGAATTTTAGCCGTTAACAATATAATTTTTTTAAAAATCCAGACGACACGCTTTTAACGGATGTTAGATTTCATTGAAAAATACATACCTACCCACTACCAAACACCCCTGTCTAGAAAAATAGATTTATCTGTAACCTTGGAAACATGAATTTTGTTTTAGCTTTGTATTTAAAACCCAGTAATTTTAAAAGTTGCTCCAAAATTCGCTTGAGGATGAAATGGAACTAATGTCTTTAATTTAATCACAAAATTAAATTCGGGGCTTTTAGCTTCCATTTTTTGAAACATGGTTAGAACTGTGTAGCGAAAAAAAACACATCTTAAATCAATTAACTTATAATATGCTCTGTAAATTTACATTGAGCACTATTTTGTAAAAATAAAAATATCTATAAGAACACCGGATTATATATCTTACTGTTCTTTCTTTTTATTTATATATATATATATATATATATATATATATATATATATATATATATATATATATATAAGACTTGAAGCCAAACTGCAGACAAATTTTTCCACCATCGTCCTGAAACTGTCCCAAAATAAATTTTTCTTTTTTTTTTTTTTTTAATAACAGAAAAACACTGATAAAAAAAAAGAAGTTAAAATGTTAAACTTTTAAAAAATGAATAAATGCAAAAACGAATTAGTTAAATTTGCCTGTGATTTTTATAAAAATCCGAACTTTATTTTTATTTAAATATTTTGGCTAAATCATAGAATAATTTTACTTTTTTAATTTTGAATTAATTTTCCTGCTCAGAGTAATTTTGATAATAGTTTAATTTAAGAATGGTGTCCTCCTGCATTCACATTTCCTCTAAAATGTTTTAGCACATTCATTTTCATTTACAATTACTTGCCTCACATCATGAATAAATTTTCTGTTTATCATTTGGAAAGTCCTCCTTGAGTTTCCAATTTAGTTTACAATAACAAACATGAACTCTAAATGTTGCTGGTTAATCCTCTGCTCTGTTCAAGATTTTTAACCAAAAATTGACAAAAAATATAAATTTTTTTACTTTGCTTATGAAGCCAAATTATTTCTTAAAATTAAATCCAAATTTATGTCACATTTTGATATAAAAAAAAAAAATAGAAATATCTAAATTGAAGTCCTTCAACTTTCATTTTTTTCATTTGGATTTCATTCACCAGCAGAAAGAGTAGTGCTTAAGTTTTGTTTGTGTGTGTATTCCATTTATGCTACCATTATTATTGAAAAATGTTATTTTTTTTTTTTTTTTTAATTTAAAGAAATTAGTTGCTTCAAGAATAAATATAATAGAATCTTAATAAAAAGTTAATCATTCCAACATCATTGCAAATGTAACCCACCATTGCAAACTAACATTTTATAAATCATGGGACAGTATTGGTCTTCAGTCACAATGTATAGGGTCTCTTTGATTTGTTTCATTTTAAGATTTGTATTGAATAAGATCAATCTTTTCACACAGAACGATATTTAGCAAGAAGTCTTTGAGGAAACAGTTTTTTCATTATAACCTTTGTTTTATGTTTCGTAGACTGCCACTGCCTTTCTTCTCTACTCACTCCTTACTCCTTTTTATGATTCTTCAATCCTTTTCCTTCCACTACCTCAGTCACCACCACCACCATTCTTCTCTTATCACTCCTTAGTCCTTTTTATTATTCTTCAGTCTTTTTCCGGCTACCACCTTGGTCATCACCACCACTACCATCTTCTCTTCTCACACCTTATTCCTTTTTATGATTCTTCAATCCTTTTCCTTCCACTACATTGGTCACCACCATCTTCTCTTCACACACCTTATTCCTTTTTATGATTCTTTAATCATTTTCTTTCTACCACTTAGGTCATCATCACCACCATCACCACCACCGTTCTCTTCTCACACCTTAGTCCTCTTTATGATTCTTTAATCCTCTTCCTTTATCTTCTTTCATTACTTTGACTGCCAACATCCAGGCCTTTTTACTTGATGTCTTTCTTTTGTCATTTGTTGAGGACATGAACATTGTCCTTTTACAATTTCTCTACCCCAATCTGAAGCCAAGTAGTCAACACTTTAGTACAATAGCATTTTAAATTCTATAAATTCTCTAATTCAATCTTGCACCTTATTTTTATTTTTTTTTTTTTTCCCATTGATCTTCTGCTAACAAGAGCTGAAAATGTTTATTCTCCAGGAAGGAATTCTCAACAATTGTCCTTGAGGTGTTAGAAAGTTTAGCAATATGTCAGGGGATTTGATTTTTGTTTCCACTTCTCCCTTTTGTTTTACAAATGATTTTTGTGAAATATTTTTTCAGTGCTCTTGAACGATATTTGCATTAGCAAGGTGACATGATGAGCATCTCTTTCTAGTAAATCTTTGAATAGGTGTTGATACTTTATTCACAAAAAAATGAATCAACTTTTTCGAACTGATGGATGCAAAACTGGATCTGATAAAAGCTGGTCTATGCACACTCATGCTCATTAATCACTAACATACAATGCACTGCTTGTTTATAAGCTTGTTGTTATCCAATTTCTTTATTCTGGGGTTTACTTTCTTTTGAATTAGGCCCTGTAGTTTCACTTCTTTTGACTTCTTACGCCCTGCCGTCCCTTTCTTTTGACTTCTTACGCCCTGTCATCCCTTTCTTTTCATTTAGTATCTGCTTTCATTTTGTCAGTAAGGTTACCTAAGGCCTAGTGTGCCACATTGGCTGCTAAATAATCCTTTTTGGACCAGAGCACATATCTCGGTCAATTATTAAGGAAAAAGCTTATTTTCAATGGCTTACAAGATCAGTGTTCTTACTGCCATCTTTCCTTCTTGACAACAATCAAATCCTTGTAAAATCTTTTTTGTTTCCCATGCTCATCTTGATATTTTGTTTTATTTACAGCCAGTGTCGCAGCAACCACCTCTCCATCTCCCCCAACCTCCAAGTGTGGGTGTACCTTCCAGCCGTCCGATTCGGCGTCAGCATGTCTCCAGCAGCGGCACAAGCTTACTCAACAGGAATCCTCTTCTTCCTCCTGTCGGTCAGACCTTTTCCAATTCCAACACTAATGTCGGTCAGATCTCTGAGTTGTTACCCTGTCTTAGTTTGCCTGCATCCAGAAAGTCACTTGTTGCAGGATCAGTCCCTGTTCAAAAAAATGATGAACTGGGGAAAACTGTGGTGAGTGAGGAGTGTGACAACAAGGACAAGGCCTCTCCTGACCAAAGAGAGGCTCGGCAGTTTCTACCTTCAGAAAATGTTCTACAGAGCGGCATCAAATACAAAATTCTGAGCCGGTTGAAAACTGACCAGCCATCAAATGTGACCAAGGATGATACCTCGTACTGTGGAAGCAGACTGGTCAAGAGTTTTGAGTCATTAGATCGAAAAGTGTCCAGTGCCACAGCAGTGTCCAACGAACGACTCAATGAGTTTATGGATAATGTAGAACTTACCTCGGCAGGAAAAAACCATCTTCCGAATTATCTGAAACCTGAGACGCTCGGCCATGTCTCTTGTGATACAGTTTCCCACTCTGTTAAGAGCCCCCAAAAATCCACGCAAACATTCTCCTCGGCAGTTGCCTCTTCAACTGAAGGTGGTGCTGACACATTGAGTGTTAGGGATTATAGCAATCACAAATTAGTTACGAAGAAAGTGCCGCCAGATCCTTGTGGATTGGTTTCTTCCAAGTTGAAGAAACGTCAAGATCAGTTCATCCACAATTTGAGAGATGCCCTGTGTGACTCTACTACAGGTCAGGGGAGTGTTACTTCAAGCAAGGAGATGCCCCGGTCTCCAGAAACTGTTCGTAGACCCCCTACTTCGTCTCACTGTGATTGGAAGAAAGACTTTGCCCTGGAAAGCTTGAGTAGTAGTGAAGCTTATGCCGTGACAGGAATGCTTCGGCAAGCTTCTCTGGAAAGAATTGGATCTTCCCATATTGGGAATTTCATACATTCAAGTACCAAAAGTAAATTTTCTGCTGGTAATTTGAACAGCAATTTCGAGGGCCCAGTTTCCAATCCAGATCGGAGAATAGTGGTAAGTAAAATATGCAATAATTTGTTTTCTTTGAATTTTGCTTTTTAGCACTGCGTCTGTGTTTATTCTATGATACTATGGACACCCACATAGAAAGGGAAGAGGTGGTTTTATCTCGATCTGATGTGTCTGTATTTGATAGCTAGCAGATAATTCCTTTTGAAGTTTGGTCTTTTAAGTGGTATCCACTTTGAATGAATAGGAACTGGGAAGTAAAAGAGTGGATGAGGAATTGGGGGGGGGATCAAGTGACAACAAAACCGGAAATAGTGTATCTGGGTGCTGGTCTATATTAACAGTCATGCTTGGAATTGAAGTCAGTTCTGGTCCGCCCTTGGTAACAATGATGTCTATTCATATTGCCAGCCACATGTCTTGATGAGCAGACAGATGAGGAAATCCATATAGCAAATGTTGTCCAGTGTCAGTTGAGCAGGTGAAGCTCTGAATAAAACATCTACATATGACGTGACGTTTGTCTTTCATCATGATAACTTGTGAGCATGCAGTGGGCCCTTTCCCAGTGCACACCAATGAGATAGAGAATTGAAATGCAACATGGGGGTAATCACTGGCTAGTTGGTGGAAGGCTTGGGTGAGGGTAGTGTTCTATATCTACAGTTACTATTTGGGTAAAAACAATATTTGCAAAAATGCATGGATTAGTCTCCAAATCTCAGTATTAACAAAATGTTTTTACATGTAAAATCTCAGATAACCTAAAAAGAGTTAAACTCTAAATGAATGGACAAATGTTTTAGTTTGGGGATTTTTTTTATTATATTTATGTATTTATATTTTTTTTTTTAATTTTCTTTTTGCTAAATACGTCTGTTTCAAATGCCACGCTAAGAAAGCCTACTTATGTGGATGCTATGTACAAGTGCTCTAGACATCATGAAGAATACACAGATTTGATATTGAATGTTTTACCCCCCCTTTTTTAAGCTTCCAAATTTGAAATTTTTTGACAAGGGACACTGAGCAAATTAACAATTAAAAACAAAAAAAAATTAATTTCAAGACAAATCCATTTTTTTCTACTATCTCTTTGCATTTCTCATTGTGTCTGTGTCTCTCTCTCTCTTTCCACATGTTGGTCCAGTCTCTTTTCTACAATTGACCTCTCCACCCACATAGTGGATTTTTGATTTGAGGAAGTCCCTTTGGTGGATCTGGTCGAAACGTCCATAAGTTGAGTTTTTTTTGTTCACAAAAAAAGAAAACTATTTACTGCCAAAGTGATGAGAACATTTCTTGTTTAAAAGTAGTGAAACACTGTTTATTCAATCACAGATTATTATTTTATGTCCATCCGTTGCCATTTTCTTGCTGCCTAAAATTCTTTGGAGGAAAACCAAGATTTATTCTGATTTGAATTCCTACAGGTAACCAAATAATATAACCAGATTTACTAGTAGCGACTTTTACTAACATATATAAAATAATAATAATACATAAAATAACAGCAAAGCTTGATGTCTCATGAAAGTGTCACTTTGTCTCCCAAAGCAAAATAAACATCTTTTTGTTTTTATGTTCATCTTGTTTGGTTTTCCACACGTCAAGAGTACTTTTTCATGCCTCAGAAAAATCTGGTGTTATATAGTTCTCTCAGTCCCCGACCCACACTGGCTTTTGGCTAACACCTGTCCACTATTGTTCATATGCAAATTTTATGAACACCACCTACTTTAAGTAAAATCTCTTCTTACTGCACCACATACAACCAACTCTGGGTCTCTTGTCAGGTTGACCTGATTCTCCATCACAGTTTTGATTCTTGATAATGTTGTTTTTTTTTTTTTCTTTCTTCAGTCTTCCCACATTCATAGAATAACATCTGGTCATGATAGCCACAGTAATTTGACATCCCCAGCCAATGTCCACCACCGACTGCCTCCTGTGAAACCAAAAAAGCAACCTGCAAAACGCTGTCTGACTTGCAGCAAGAAAACTGGAATTGCGTCCAGCTATACATGCAGGTCAGTAGACAAAAGCTGAAAACCGGGAACTTGTTTATTCTCTGTCATGTGAAAGCATCGTTGTTTGGTTGGTTAGTTTTGTTTTTTGTTATGTAAGGTAAATTCTTTTAATGTTTTCTAATCTCTGCCATGTAAATTGGCATCATAGTCACTTGGGTGATTACCTACCTCCGAAGTAGCTATACCCATTGCTACTCTAACAGGAGAGAGCTATGGAAGAAAGATTTATTATCCAATTTGTATTTCCCCTATTATGGGCATTATTATATTCGTGATATAATAACATCGTAGTTCACAGATGGGACAGAATGGCTAAAAGGAATGGCAAACAAGCTTTGTTCTCAAAGAGACTTTTATACCATTACAACATGCAAAAAAATATATGTAAATATATACAAATGTCCCATGCAGAGAACAATATATTACATACATCTACACAGCATAGCAGAGTGTAAAGAGAAGCAAAAAGGAAGGGACTTACATATAATATGGAGATACTCATGTATATGGAGAAGCCACGTTTATGACTCCAGATTCAAATGAGTTGGATTCATCTATGTCTCAGGCAAGAAATGAATGCGGAAATAGCAAATCTTGTGAGCTGGAGTTTCTTTCTATATCTGGAAAAGATATATTTGTAAAGGGAAACGGCACCATGCATCTGCTGTAAAACAAACTGAATTTGATTGCTGCTTTCATGACTGTGTATACTAAGCAGCCCTCGCGTGACCCATGTAACTTATGTCAAAAAGAGATAATTGCCTTCTGTACCCTGGACAAATCACTGCCCCACTTCACAAGGAAAACAAATAATGAAATTAATGGCATAGCAGCAAGAAATGAAAACCTGTTTCCATTATATTGGTTATTTTAATTGGGTATTCACTTGGTACAGTCCCAGACACTTTGGACAACTGCTACCTGCTAATTTTGTCATAACAGACCATCTCTCTTCTTTGGTCAGCAAGATCTCTGACTCACTCTCCTACATCCTTATTGTGGTAATAAACACAATTCTCCAGAATATAATGTGTGGATTTATACAAATGGCATATATACTGACACTGAGAATCGTAAGCAGAACTAGCCACGAGCGAGCCTTATATCCTTACTACAGAATTCAGTAAGACTATGTTGACTCCAAGCAACATTATATTTCATGACTGTGTTAACTTCATTCAATGGAATGAAGACATAAGACTGGCAACAAGGATTTGAATTCACACGTAAAAAAAAAAAGATTTTTCTTCCATTTTGATTTGTGCACAACAGAACATTTGCTGAATGATAATTTGAACTTTACAAAAAAAAATTTTTTCCTTTTAGCTTAAACAGCTGTCTACGAGATTGTAATTTACAAAAACAAATTTAAAAAACAAATGGTGGGGGTTCTTGCTTAGCATAAATAGCTGTTGAAGAAAATTAAAAATTCACAGAAAAGAATTTTGTGGGCTCTGTGTATATCCATAGGCCAATAGGGAAGTCGATAAACTCCAGGGTGTATAACACATTACTATTAGAGAAAAAAAAACAAAAAACAAAACTTTTTCTTCCTAGTTACTGACAACTTGTACAAACATAATACACTATAGAAGGATTGAAATTGATTATTCAGCAACAGCAAGAATTCTGAAAGACATTATTACAACAAATGCAGCAGGAGCAGATTAAATAACAAGAACAGTTAAAGACAATCCTGGAAAAGCAAGGAATAGGCAATGTGTCAATTTCACTCTCGCCAAACTCTGTGGCTAACTCAATTAGTGAATTTAATTACATCTCAGAAGAAAACATTATATTTCTATCGTACTTCAGAAGGTACAAGGCCATTTTCTGAGAATAATGTTGAGAATGGTCAGAAGAAAAGAAAGTACTTTTGCTGTTAGAAAAATTGTCTCACTGAGCATGAAAAATATCTGAATTTCATTTTGCCAAATACTCCAGAAAAAGTGTCATTTCATCAAAAGCTTTTGGTGAAAAGAATTCACTTTTTTGTACATGTTGGCAGTGCATGAACCTTACTAAGGAAAAAAAAAAATGAAGATTTTGTCACATATGCTGGTAAAGTCAACTATGAGTGAGAAATTTAAACTGGATGAACTATCCCCAGATAAATTTAAATGTTAAAGTTCTAACATCAAGTAACGATGTGGAAATATGCTCTTGAATCCTTACAAAACAGAATTTGAAGTTAATGATACAGACTGTTGCAGAAGAATACCAAAAAATTGTCAATTTAAGACACAATACAGTGAAAATTGAACAAAATGGCATGTCAGAAGTACAAGTAGTTAAAAACAAAAGACAATACCACCAAAAGAAAAATTCCACAATAAAAATACTACCAAAATTAACCCATGGTATGCTTCATTTCAGAAAGGACTGTCCATTTAAAACCAAAAAATGTTTTAATTGTTGGAAAAAAGGTCACGAATGAAGCTGTTGAAAAGTAAAAGAAACACAAATTAACTTGCTGAAAGTAGTACTACCAGCTAAAAACTGGAAGGTTCAAATAATACAAAATTTGTGATAGTACTAATGAATAATGCTATGGTGAGATTTCAGTTGGACTCAGGTAGTGATATTACAATTATTGAACAAACTCAGACCAGAATTGGTAAGCCTAACTTGAGAAAAACTGGCAACATTGTAAGAAATTAATTTTTCTTGGGAAAATCACATGTAACATTCTTTTGGATAAAACTATAAAAGCAGATGTTTACATATTAAAAAATTCTAACTCAAATTTACTAGGTATCAATTGGCTAGAATTATTTGTACTATGGATTTGGCCAATTAATTCATTCTGTGGGAAAATTAATTATTTGCCAGAGAAAAAGATTAAAGAAACACTGAGTAAACTAAAAAATAAATTTACAAATATTTTCTCAGAATTGGGGAAATGTAGAATGTCAAAGGCATTTTTTAAATTAAAAGAAAATGTGATACCAGTTTTTAAACTTAAAAGAAATATACCTTTTGCTGTGTTGGAGTCTATTAACACTGAATTTGATAAGTTAGAAAACTGGAGTTATTGAAAAAAAAAAAAAAAAAATAGATTATTCAGAATGGGCCATGCCAGTGGTTTATATTAGGATGAAAAATAAGAATCGTTTATGTATAGATTTCTCAAATGGATTGAATGACTGCCTCCCACCTCCTGTATATCCCATACCAACTCTAGATGATATATTTGCTAAATTAAATGGTGGTATTTTTTTTTTTTTTTTTCAAAAATTGACCTGTTTGAAGCATATCTTCAAACTGAAGTGGATGAGGAATAGCAGAAGTATTTGACTATTAATATAAATAAAGGACTCTACAAGTTTAGAAGATTACACTTTGGTATAAAAGTCGCCTCAGGTATTTTCCAGCAAATAATGGATACAATGTTGGCTGGACTAGACGGTGCCATCACTTACATAGATGATATTTCTTATTAAGAGTGCTAGGAAAATACAGCACATAAAACTGATTCAGCAAGTATTTCAGAGACTACATGATTACAGTTTCAAACTCAATGAACAGAAATGTTGGTTCTTTTTTGATAAGATTAAATATTTAGGTCAGATAATCGATGAAAAAGGAAGAAGACCAGATACTGCTAGAGCAAGTGTCATTAAAGATTTGTCTTCTCTTGACAAATTTGAGTAATTTACTTAAGAAGGGTATGAAATGGTATTGGTCAGTGGAATGTCAAAAAGTTTTCAAAGGAATTAAAATAACTAATAACCTCAGAGTTATTGCTGACACATTACAACCTGCACCGACAGATAATAGTAGTGTTGTATGTGAGTGAATTATGCTATATGAGTGATAATAGGGCATAAATTCAAAGATAGTACGGTGAAAGCAGTCACCCATGCTTGAAAAAGTTTAACAAATACAAAAGAATGCTACAGTCAAATTGAAAAGGAAGCATTTGCTATAATTTTTTCTGTAAAGAAATTTCACAGGATGATATTAGGAAGAAAAATGCATCCTGCAAACAGATCATCATCCATTAAGTATATTTAGTTGTAAGAAAAGGATTCCACATATACCGCAAACAGATTGAATTGGGCTACAATTTTATTGAGGTATGTTTTCAAGATGGAATTTCTATCATCAAAAAAAATTGGGACATGCAGATGGCTTGTCTAGATTGATATTGAAATGAAAAGAAGATACTGTGATTGCTTTGTTGGAATCTGAAAGTGAAATTAAAAAACCTTGTGTGTAACACTATTAAAGGATTGCCGGTTACAATAGACTATATCAAAATTCATTCTAAAATTAAAAAAACTATGAATCACATTAAGTTGAAATGGAGTAAAACTAAAATTAAACCTGGTAACAATAATACAGCATTTTCTATTTGTGATAGAATATTTTTGTATGTGGAAAGAGTAGTAAAATCATTACAAAAAAGTATTTTGAAATATTTCTCTATGTACGGCATTTGGATGAAATCCCTGATGAAAAGCTATGTTTATTGGCCAAGGATATTCAAAATACAGTTAGAAAATGTAATCCAGTAGCAGTGAGACTACATCAACTCCAAGTGACATTTTATTTCATGATTGTGTTATCTTCATTCAATGGAATAAAAACATAACATATTGAAACACTGGTTCTTGTACCATCTCCAAAGTTAAATAACATTGAGCCACTTCAGTACATAGAAAGATTACTGTAAGCTTGGATGTATGGGTGGTGTAATAGATAATTGGAAATCAGAGAACAAAGTTCTATTTCCAGTCAGGTTTGTTATCTTCACTTATATGCAAATACTCTTTGGAAAGATGTCAGTCTAACTCTTCTCTTCCCGCAGCTATGGGTTAATTAGTAGGACTTGTATTAGTAAATCATTAACTCAAAAAAAATCTGAAAATCTAAAAATATCTTTTGGTTTTAAATAACCAGCAAAAGGTTTATAAACCCTAAAAAAAAAATGTCAATACACTCCTCTGCCTATCATTACTTAACAAAATGAGATGTACAACATGCCTAAAGGTAGCTCAAAAGTACTGCTCATTCTGTGAGTTTGCTAATTTAAGCTTATAATCAGAATTTCCTAACTTCCAGCTAAGTGGCACTTGATCCCCAAAGTTTTTCTTTAATTCGTTTCAGTCAATGAAAGATTTTACTACATAGTTTTTATTGTCTTAAAAACTGCTACAGATTTTAGACTTAAATAAAATCATTCAATGTCTGCTTCATTTTGGGGGTCAATTGTGTGGTGCACTTATTGTGTCACAATATTACTTCTGGTAGTCACCTTGGATTTTTGAAAATGAATAAACCACTGAGGTGTTTACACACCCCAATACAAAAATAACATAGCAGTTAATATCAGTTACAATGTACATTAAACAAAGAATATAATATAGATTAAATCAAAACTTGAACTGAAGATATAAGTATTTATTGAAATGAAAACTGTAATAAATTTGTTGCCCAAATTTGTAAATTGTAGGTGAAACACACCAATACAATAATAATGAAAAGTTTTATTCATCAAAAATAGCCACAATATAGAAAGATATTACATTAGCTAAACTCATAATTACATGACTGAAAGAGTAATTGTGTGTATGTATATATATATATATATATATATATATATATATATATATAAATAAATAAAATGTGTGAATATCAGTGTGTCACACTTTTCAACTTTACTCCTAGTGGCGTAGCCCAATTTATACCATTTTGGAATCGGGCCAATGCCATGAACAAATTAAAAACATTCTGGATCGAATCAGGACCTGCAGTCCTGAAATTTTGGATTCCCAAGTTTTGATTACTGTGATTGTTTTCAGCGATCTCTCCTCTTTTTTTTTTTTTTTTTTTTTTTTTCCCAAATAATTTTTTTGTACAATAACAATTTTTATAACTTGGGAATAATCAAAATTAATTGTGAAATCCAGTGAAAGTCACCCATAAAATAAAAATAATTATTAGTACAGGAAGTAAGGACCTACATGCATCAAACAGTCTTTAGATTAAGTGGTGGTAAGAATTATCGTTGAACTTTTAAAGGTAAGCGTTGGATATTAAGGCAATATTTAAATGCAGTGATCATTGTTGAGTTCTGTAGTTTATTAGTGCCTATCACATACAGCAGCAATATGCCTCACAAAAAGAAATCTCCCAACAGAGGAAAAAAATTGCAATCAAAAGAGTCAAGGCTGCAGTGAGGAAAAAATTCCATGAAAATGAAAACCCAGATCAAACGGCAGCTAGGAGAGCATTCAATGCTGAGAATGGGCAAAGACTTAGGGTTTTATATATATATGAGGCAGGATGTGTGTGTAATAAATGCACGACCGCAATTTTCGACGGATTTGCACCAAAATTTACATGCACATGCTCCAAGTTAGCGGGAAGGCCGACTTTGCATTTCCCAACTCCCATCGATTGTGGAAATAATCGATTTTTTTCATGTAGTTTGCGGCCTTTTTCTACTGGCCAGAGTAAGAGCCTATAGCTGGCTGCCATGAATAGGCAGGAAGAGATTCTATTGGCCAGCGCGAGAGCCAACAGCTGACTGACACGAAACTAGCATGCAAAAAAAAATCGATGGCTGCATTCGTCACAAGTGGGAAAAATTTAAATCTGCATGGCACTTTACTCCAATTGGCTCATTTGCTTGCTTAAACTCAACGTTGATTCTGATTCCGCAGAACTGGGTTGGGTGTGAAAAAGTATTTGTTGTTAACATTCTTTTTTCATTTGGTTTTTCCAGTTATGAGTCCTTTTTTTTAAAGATGATCGATTTGTGTTCATTTTGTTTAGTTCTTTTTTTGTAACAGATTTAATGTTTAGTATAGAGCTTAGAAAAAAATTAGCAGTGTGAGATAGGCAAGAAGTAAGGCATGTAGCAACATAAGCATTGCAAAGGGCACTCCTTTAAAGGCAAGGAACGGCAAAAATATTTTAAGTCAAGTGATAGCGATTGCTGTATGAGTTGTACGATTTTTGAATCAAGCACGGGCAATGATGCTAGTGTGTGTGTGTATATATATATATATATATATATATATATATATATATATATATATATATATATATACAGCATGTTTGGTTAAATAATTTAGATGTCTTATGTCTATTTTCGTTTTGATTCTTTCAAGCCCAGAAATTAGTTTTTTGGTGGCTGTAGAAAATTGATCAAGAAAAATACCAAAGTTTTCTTTCAAATAATTTTTATTTCCTCAGTTACTTTCAATCTCACCTGAGATTATCTTCAGGGGGTTAAAATATCTGTGCATGTGTACACACAGTAGTTCCATAAATTCAAAATATTTTTCTCACTGTTCATTTACAGCATCTCAATTTTAAAATTTTCAGTTATGCTAGGGAGGTAACTTTGTAATTTAAAAAAAAAATTTTTTTTTTAATTTAGTATTTTTATATAAAACTTTACTGCTACAAACCTTTACAAACGTTGTTGCTATACTCATAGTTGACTTTATTTTAGTCTGCAATTCTCTTATATAAAGGGCTTCCAGAATTTTAAGTTTTTGCTTATTATTTTGATGAAATACTAATGTATTTTCAACTAATATCTGTCTAAAATGTGAATGTGGACATGTGTTCCTTTAAATATTCTGAGATATCTGCCACCCAAGCTACAAGTGCGCCACACCTTGTGCTACACACCCTAAGTAAGTCTGGAAAGTAGTGGGAGCAAAAGAAATAAGTTGCCAACTAGGATTTATGAGTACTTAAAAGATTTTTGGTTAACAATACATCCCATGTGATTAACACATGGTTAAGAAAAAAATTGATTTTAAAAATAAACCTCAATTTTTCAATTTGAAGGATATTTTGGCAGATACTTTTTTTTTTTTTTTAGAGGATGGGTTAAGTTTGTTTTTAGGTATCCCTAAATATAGTAAATAGTTTTTGAAATTTTTAATTTTGATTTTTTTTTCTTTTTTTTTTCATCTGCTTACTCAACAAATAAAAAAAAAAAAGAAAAAAAAGGCCAGCATTTCTCTTATTATTATTTTTTTTTTCTTTTTAGATGTGGCAGCAACTTTTGTGCTCTCCATCGCTATGCAGAAAGTCACAACTGTACGTTTGATTACAAGACAGAGGGTCGTAAACTCCTGGAGAAAACTAATCCTGTCATCACAGCACCCAAGCTACCAAAAATTTAACAATGATGGCAAAAGAAAAAAAAGGAAGGCTCTTTTTTTTATTCACTTCCAAATTTCTAAGATAAAAACGAAACCCTCTGAAGCTACGAGTGCTTGCCAATCTATCAATTTTCAAGTCTTCAGCTTTTCTGCTGGGAATGAACAAGGGAGGCAATCCTGACTTGCTTGTGATATTACTTACTCCTCCTAACAAATTTACTCTTTCTATTACTAGTGTTTTCCGCTTCCATTTGTACTAACAGTGTTTATTTTTTTCAGATGTTAAATCAGCACACGACTTGCTCTGTGTTCTGTAAATGCATAACGGATAACCAGCAGAAGAGAAAGAAATCCCTTTCCCAAAAGATCGATTTTTCTGATCAAAATTCACTAAATATACTTGAACAGCATATAACTTTTCTACCTTTGTATTTTACACACACTCAATTTTTGAAAAATTTGTTTTATTTTCAAATGGAAATTTCTCGCCATGATTTTTTTTTTTTTCTTTCTTTTGGTTTATAAGTTTTTTCTTTCTCTGGTATTAATCTCTTTCTACCCCCCCCCTCAAGTTGTCTGATTTATTTGTGTTGGTCCTTACCAAACTCATCAGTTTTCCTTGCAGTAAATGTCTTTTACAAGGACAGGTTTGTAGATTTTTTTAACATTTAATCAAGTAAATAGATTGGACTATAACTTTCCTGCCCACAGAAAACAGTCACATTCTGTCTTGTCTCTTGGTCTAAACTCTTACAACAAAAAAGAACATGTCCTTTCTGTAGACAATCAAAAACAGTTTTTTTTTTTTTTTTTTTGCCTCTTTCCTAAAACCCAGCTGTCAAATTTTCTTAAGATCCAGGAAGTTTTTATTCTTTATATTTATTTTTAATTTACAGTATTTTATCAGCTATTTCTACTCTTTTCTTTCGTGAGGTGCCATTGTAGATTTGCATACAATTAACAACATCAAAATTACTAACCACAAATTAATGACTGTCTCCTGTTCTGATCATATAACGTTTTTAAGAACAAAAGAAGATAATTCAAGTGGAGTTAATATGGCTTTCTCTAGCATAAACCTTATTAATAGATTAATGAGAGATTTTGATTAATCTGCCATTTTAAAATGCTTCTTGGGTAGAAAAATGGTTTTTATTTTATTTATTTATTTTTTTTTTTTTTTTTGTCAATAGAAGAAAATTAAAAACATCTATTCAGATGTACCCTGGAAATTAATAACATTATTTTAACTTAGTTTTGTGTTACCAGGCACTTTTTAAGGAGATGTTTAAAGAAAGCCACACAATCACAGAGAAACATTTTGGATCTTAATGAGATGAGATTTCAAAAATTGGAACAATTTTTTTTTTTAAGTAAGGATAACTGATGTGTAAGATTTATTATTCTTGAATGGGATAGAGGACAAATAAAATAAACAGAGGAAAATTTGGGGCCTTCTTTCTCTCTCTCTCTTCTCCCTCAATCCAGCCTTTGGGTTTTGCTGTGATGAATCAAGTTTTGCCAGCTGTTTTGTATTTACACCTATCAAGATGATATTTAACTTAGACATTTTTCAATTTATATTTGTCACCAATGTGACACTTGAAAGTTTGTTTTTTTTTTTTTTAAATTTCAAAACAAAATTCTATCAAATGATAAAGTGTTGCATATGTTTAGATATCAAAAGAATTTTGTGTGTGTGCAAAAGAAAAACAATCTGCACTAATTTTAAGGACCCTTATTTATTTTCTCGGCTCTATTTTTTCACTTCTGATTTTTTTCATATTCAGTCAAAATATCATTTCTTCCTAGTTGTGTAAAATATTTTATTTAGCTTTTTAAGAAAAGAAAAAAAATATTGAAACTTTTTCTTGTGTATGTGTGTGTGTGAATTTATTTGAGTAATGACAGTCTTGGTCCTGCAGTTAGGCTTGAAAGATATTTTCCCTGGGCATTATAGAATGTAGAGGAAAACAGTAAGGTTTATGCAGAAGGGGAGGGGAGAGGAAAAAAAAAACATACTCTAGATTTTATCTTCGACCTAGTGTTTAGGAATTATAGAAAGAAAATCAAACACAGTTTTATATTCTAGCTTTTGAAGAAGTTGCTGAAATGTTACGCCTGCCTTCTCTCCAGTTGCATCATAACAATGGGAGTGCTGTACATTGAAATATTGTAATCTATATTCTATTTTTTACATTGTCTGCTAATGATGGATAACACTTAACGTCTGCAGATATCCACTGCAATTTATAGGCAAAGAACAAATTCTCCAGAAAGGCATGACTTTTTTTTTTACTTAATATAAAGAAGATAACAAACAATAATTCAATGAATTGATTTTCTGTTGCAGTTTTTCTATTGTTTTTGTTCTTAATGTCTCCCACAAGTAATCACAGATTTTAATAATTAGGTTCATTTGTCTTTTACTACCGGCAAAAATCAATTAATATTTTCAAACTTTTTTTTTTTTTTTTTTTAATATATTCAAGTTTTTACTTGATTATATTTTTGGAGATTTTCAAAATAGCCGTCCCCTCCCCCTCACTAATCCGGCATAGTTTTGGCACCTGTGATATGATGGATTTGTGATATTTAATAGATTACAGGTAATTTAAGTTGGGAAAATCTTTCTGATAGCTGACCACTTTGTCCCGCCTGTGACTAGATTGTAAAAATGAAAAAAAAGTGTTGAGAAGCAAGACAGATTTTAATGAAGCAGAGATAAAAATTGAAATCTGTCAAGGAAAGTCAACAGCAGTGGCTAGGACGAAATGAGAGAGAGAGAGAGAGTGAAAGCAAAGAGGTTGTCGGCATATAGAAAGCTAAATGGGTTATGACTTGACAATCACTCAGAATATTTGTAGGACAGCCATTGGGTCAAGTTGAAAAGATTCAGCAAACTGAAGTTGACTCAATTGCTGCTGGTTGGGTTGAGATTGCAAGTGACCAGCTAGGTGACACTGGACACTCCTTATTTGTCTAAATTATCAAAGCATTAGGAATCTCTCTCTCTGGCTTAGTGACCGTAATTTTTTTCTTTTTTTCTACCCCCCTCCCCCAGTAACAGTCTTGTTTGAATGAATCTATTCCTGCAGTGCCTATTAACAACAAAAAAAAAAAAAAAAAAAAAAAAAAAAAAAAAAAGTCCTGGTCTTCCAGGAGAAAAGCCAAATATGAGACAATCTGTGGTGAATTTTTTTTTTTATACTGTAACATCCAATATTTAAGGGTGGAAAATTTATTGCCTATTTGCACAATTTGGCTTATCAGTCTAGTCTTTCTCTCTTTTTTTTCTCTCCCTCTCTTTTTTTTTCCTCTCCCTCTATATTTCAGCTGAAAATAAAAATAAAACAATAATTTCAGGTTAAAAAATATATTAATGGTGTTTTGTGTGAGTGGGGTCTAGTGGATTGAGGGTGTTGGTGTAGGGGGGATGTTCTGGGCAAGACTTTGGAACACAGACAAATGATTTGACTCTACAGATTATTTCACTCTTAACCATTCCAGCATTTTTTTCTTTTCTAATTACATATAAAAAAAAAAAAAAATTTTTCCCCTTTTGGATTCTATTTTTATGAGATTGCTAATTTCTTATCTGCCTATAGAATATTTATGCTTTCAGTTTGGCTGTTCAACTAAAAAACCTCAGTTTGACACCCCCCTCCTTCTTGGGGAGAGGGAGCTAATTCCATTTCTGTGTGTCTAGGGAAACATGAAAATAGTAATTAATAAAATTTTGCAGGAGTGGGGATTTTGTGGGTGGGTGGGTATCCGCACATTTTTTTTTTTTTTTTTTTTTTTCATCACCTATTTTATATAAATTGTCTTTTTATATCAAATTGAAAGAAAAATTAAACTTTATTGAAATTAATAAATTGTTGCAAAAAAAAAAAAAAATGAATTGAGTGATATGTTTTATCACATGATTTCTTATTGATGTGCATGTTTGTGTTTTTGTTTTATAAGGGATGTTAATGAATTGAGCATTCAAGAAGAAATTTGATTAGATTTTGGGAAGTGTTCAAGGCTGAGAACTTTTCAGAATCCTCTCATCTATATGTAGGTGTGCATTTATCAGAAACAGGTGGGGGGGATATTTAGTTCTCTATATGTTTAGACATGTTTAATTTTTTTTTTTAAATACAAAACTTTCAAAAAATCAAGTCGGCGCACTTTCTTAATTTTTTTTTTTTTTTTAACTCCCAAATTTCAAGGAAGAATTTGAATTTCTCTTTTACCACTTTCTGTTCATAGAGTCTGTCTATATTTCTGAGATGAGGTATTATGTAATTTACATTATTCGGACTATTGTCCTCATCTTTGTTGCCATATTTATCACAATGTTTCGGCCATTGTATGTTCCAGCCTTCTTCAGGTGGTTGGAATGTCAAATTGAACCCTTTATTTCACTCACCAGGCTAGTTCCACGTGCCATGTTTGATGGTTATCAGTTATCTCCTGTTAATTTCCCTCTGAAAGTTCTTCACTGCCTTATATTGAACTCGCACTCTTTGGGTCCTGTCATTGGATCTAACCAACGCCTTTATCCACTGTGCCATGTGTCCTTGAGGACATCTGTGTATGAATTTCTGGGTATTATAAACCTAATGTCTTCAGCAACCATTTTTACCAGTGCTCATATTGCAATGTTGCTGTTATCATTGCATGTTTTTACCAGAGCTCATATTGCGACTATGTTGTTATCATTGCTTTTCTCTGGCACTCCTTATTACTGGTTCCCATATTGTATTTATTTCTATGCTTGGTCGACTCAGGAGATTTTCGTGGCTGATTCCTTAAGTTTACTGAAGAAGGCGGGAGCGTACAACGACCGAAACGTTGTGATAAATATAGCAACAAAGATGAGAACAATAGTCCGAATAATGTTACTGTTCATAGTTAAAAAAAAAAAATGAAATGAAACTTTTTTAATAGTCTCTGCTTTCTCTTTGTTTCATCATCCATAAACCATAGCAAACATGCCTCAATAAAAATGCAAAAGAGGCTGCAAGTCATGCGCAGACATGTCTGAAGGACAGTCACATCCAGGTTTTCCCTGTTAGAACAGCTTGGTATCTCCAGATCTTTGTCAGCTTTCTCATGTCAATAAAAGCAGGGGGGGGGGCTGTTGGCAGTCTACTTTTGGTGAAACTCTGTTATTGTCAGAGATTTGGTGTCTTGTAAAGATGTTCCTTGGTGCATTTTGTTCTGGAAGTGACGTATCACCCACAGTGGCCTCACTAGTTATTTTTGTTTGTCTCTGTCTCTGAGTTTGTCTACAAACATCTCCGGCAACCTATTTGCAGTTTTCCTCAGCTTGTGCCTTATGTGCACTTAATTCTCTAAGTCTGTCTTTTTTTTTTTTTTTCTCATGTGTCATGATTTCTTGGCAGGGCTTTTAAAAAAAAAAAAAAAAAATCAATTTCTGCAGTTGTCTTGACCAACAAAAGAAACCTGATGATTCAGTTTTGATCATATCAGATTAACCTAATGCCAGACAAGGCAAAGGGTTGTTTCATTTTTTTTTTTTTTTTTAATCATTTCAAACGATCCCAAGCATGTAAAGCAATAAAGCCACTAAGACACAGTGTGAAAGAATATGAGAGAAAGAGAATAGGAATTAAGAGAACGATTGATATTGGTCTTCAAAAATTTAAATGCCAGGTTGACTGAAGCAAAAGCTAGAAGAGAGTTTGACCAGTGAAAGTTGTGTGAGAGAAGAAACTGTCAGCATAACTCTAAAATGATGAGACCTAACTGCCAACAGAGTACTGTGATTTAATTCATAAAGTTGACGTACCAAAGAGAACAATTACCATGAAAATATTTATAGCAAAGGCACGGAAGCTATGTTATGATGGTGGGAATGTAATTGAAGGCAAGATGCCAGGTTAGGACTGATAAAATCCAAAGAAACTGCAATGTTATCAAGAATCTCTTCATATATAGCAGAAGAACCAGACCATATCTGGCAGCCATGTTTAATGCATGAACAAAAATGTTAGACTTATAAATATGTAAGATAGATTCTGGCAAGAAAAATTGTCTAACATGACACAGTGAACGAACAAACTTAGAAGCAGGTCTACCAGTTGATTCAATATAATCTTTCGACTGAAGGAAAAAAAAAGTTTAACTTTCAAATATTACATTTTTTTATTTATTGTTAAAAAAATAAAAAAATAAAAAAATTTGGCTCAACAGTTGGATGAATTTTTGGGTGCCAGGATACGCCTCAGCATTTCAAAGCCTCCTGAAGGATTATCAGATGGGATCTGAAAACAAGACATAATCATACTTTATATTCTGACTATTATCTTCATCTTTTTTGTTTCAGCCATTGTGCTCTCTGGCCATTCTCCAGCATATATCAATGTGGGTAGCCTAAAAGAAATTCTGAACTGAACCCTTTATTTAATCTACTAGGTTAGACTGTTCTCATTTCACTGCTCATGTCTAGGGATATCATTTAGTTCCTTCTTTTTATTATTATTTAGTGCTGTTCAGTTATTGCTTGCCCATTTCCACAGTCTTTGACTGCAACAGCCGAAACATGACAGCCAGCAGCAAGGTTTGGTTTAAATATTAAAGCTCTAGGTTCACCCGAGCAAATTGACCATGCTCTAATGGGTAAAAGCTAGTGGTTTGGGAATTGGGCAGTGTGTACTTGAATTCAGTGGAAATGGGCAAGCAAAACTGAACGGTAACAAAAAAATAAGAACTCCACAATATATCCCTAGATATGAGAACAGTCTACCCCCCTCCATTGATTAAATAACGGATTCAGTTTAGAATTGCCTGTAGATTACCCAGAGTGATATATACCTGAAGAAGGCCAGAGTGAACAATGGCCGAAACAACAATTATGAGGACAGTAGTGTAAATAAAAGACAATAGTTAATTTCAATAAATTCATTAATCAATAATTTACCAATCTTTCATTAGATAGAAAGTGATGAGACTTTATAGTTAACCATGAAGAATGGAATTGGCAATGAGAGCTCAAATTCTTGCATCGATTTTGCACTGATGCCTTTCTTCTCAGGTTATGGTTAAATAAAATAACAATAACAGCTCCTTTCAACTTCTAAATGGTAATTCATCCTGTACATTTGATAATGGAGCAAATATTGTTCTATGCTGTTAATACATAGTAGAACCTGTCACGTCCGTGCTCTGAGAAAAGAGGAGAATTACTCTGATCAATTTGGGAGACGCCAGCGTAGCACGGGGTGCTACAAGTGTAGGCAGAAGTTACCGTATAGGGATCTTGGGCGACCCACTTTCCATGTCAATAACTTAGCGATTTTGTATAAATATATCCGGCTGGGGGAATGAGAGTTATTCCCCTTGGAGGGAAAAAGAGATGCCATCTTGCTGACCAAACTGAGCAATATGTCTGCACATTTCTCAGTTGAATATTTAGGGGGGGGGGGGAATTTTGGAATAGAAGATCCTTGTTGGCTTACATGACATTAACCCCTCCCGTGTATGCAGTTAACAAATGTTGCAACAATTTTACAACTTCAGATTGTAATGATGAAAATGGTGATAGTCAATTGATAACAATCACTGAGATGTTCTTGGTATGACGTCACACATAAAAAAAAAAAAAAAAAAACCTAAGAAGGGCAGTTATTCCCTTGACACCGCTATTATTGTATACACTTGACAATGTTTTACAAAATTTTGGGAGGTACAATGTGTTTTTTATTATTTACCATTATATAAAAAACAAATTTGGAAAAAAAGTTTTATTCAAAAAAATTTTTTTTTTAAATTACAAAATATGTAAACTATCTACAATGCAATATTTACTATTTTATAAATAACTACAAAAACAAATTTTTTTTATTCAATCTAATAAATAGTGTTTAATGTCTTTGTTGTTAATTCTCAAGAATAAAAGAAAAGATATAAATCTATTTTCATGTTTAAATTTTATTAAAATTCCAATCATCACTTGTTAAAAGAGACTGTTCCTCAAGGACACATGGAACAGTGGATAAAGGTGTTAATTAGATCCAGTGACAGAACCCAAAGAGTTGCAAGTTCAATACCTGGTTAAGGCAGTGGAGAACTTGGAGAGGTGAATTAACAGGAGATAATTGATAACTGACATCCATTAGACATGGCACATGTAGCTCAGTTTACCCCAGCAAATGAAATAAAGGGTTCAGTTTGACATTCCGATCACCTAAAGAAGACCGGAGCGTACAACGTTGTGATAAATATGGCAACAAATTTTTTTTTATTCAATCTAATAAATAATGTTTATTTATCTTTGTCAATTCTCAAGAATAAAGAAAATGTATAAATCTATTTTCATATGTTTGGGTTTTAAAATTCCAATCACCATTTTTAAAAAACAATAAACATTGCCAAAAGAGTCAAAGTGTATACAATAATAGCAGCATCAAAGGAATAACAATCCTTTTAATACAGGCTTCTTTTTTTTTTCTTTTTTTTTTGCAGACACAAAGGTTAAACATTACCCACAAGATTTTGGCAAATTCATTCTCCAGCCTTCAAGTACATGTGTCTGAATATAACATGTCGGCTATTTGTGGACAATCTCTGAATTGTTTTGAATCTTTATCAGGTTTACCATCAGAATAAAGATTCAAGACAAAGAAATTCATTGGAATCTAGAGTTTTGTTTATCAAGCAAACATTTTATCAATAAAACTGGTTTTCTAAAATTGTCTTCATTTCACAGACTGAGACATGTTCAGAAGGTAAGATTTCAATTTCAAAAACGAAGTTAAAAGGCTTAGCCAAGTCTTGTCAAAATTGAGATGAAACATTTTTTGTCAATGAAGGAAAAATCTTACAACAATTCTGTGTCAAGTATTTTTCATCTCATCCCGACATGCCTTTTTGCATTCTGCTTGACAGCACATTCTACTTACCATGTGGCCAGCGTTTAAAATCCAGTAGAAATCAAAATTGCAGATTCCTTTGACATAACCAACTGGCACAGATGTGTAGGGGTTGATGATAATGTTCCGTTTCTCATTCTGTAATTTTTTTGCAATGTCTAACTGAGAAACCCAAAATTCAGTTCCTGTAGGGAGAGGGCAAAACAAACAAAAGTAAAAATTATTGTAGCTTTGCCATTATGTCAGACTAGCCTACACTTAATAAACACACATATCACTCACAAATTGCAACTTGTAAAATATAAAGGAAATATTACAGTGAAAAATACAAGCACAGGTTTCAAAATAAGGGGGGTCACAGTAAGGGGAGGATCAAAAAAAGTAATAATAGTGAATAAATGGTATGATTGAGAGAGAAAAAAAAAAAAAAGAAAAGATAATCTGATAAATTGGAGTAGGGGAGGGATGATTATTGACATGAATTAAATGTCTTCCAATATTTAAGTAAAATACCTTAACAAAATCAAAGTATTGCCAACATTACATTTTCAATAATGTCCATCAAAACTAAAAAAAAAAAAAAAAATATCACTAAATGATGGGAGGGGGTGTCTTAAAAAAAATCTAGACAAATGAAAACATCTCTTTAGTTCAATGAAGTCCTAAACAATGAAATGCATTACATGAAAAACTTTTTACACTGTCATAGATTTTCCTAAAATTATTCTGATATCTAAAAATTGAAATTATTTTCCCAGAAAATGATTTCAATTTTTAAATATCCGAACAATTTTAGGAAAATGAATGACAAAGTTGAAAAATGATGTTATGCATTTCGTCTTGAAAAACTTCATTGGACAAAAGTTATATTATTTATTGGTGGAGTTATATATGTTTAGTGGGGGGGGGGAGATCTAAAAACTCAAGTGTCTGTTATAATTCTGTACTGAGGGGAGAAACACTGAAGATGTGAGAACAGAAATTTATTTATTTTTTTTTTTTTTATAAGATTCTGGACGTATAGTGTAGCCAATTCATTCAGTTTGTTTTTAGCATTTTTGTTTTGAAGTATCTCACATTCTAATAATGGAAGATCTGCTTTAAAAAACTAAAAGAAACTCATTTTAATTGTGTGTAAAGACAGAAAAGCGAGGATATTTGGCTTCAGTGAGAAAGAAAAAGGGAAAGAAGAAAAATGTTTAACGTCTGTTTCAGTGAAATGGAAAAACTTGTCAATTTCAGACTTTTTTTTTTCCATTTGTACCCCCTTACTTCTTTAAACAATGACTAGCATTCATATTTACGTTTGTCATTGCAATATTTTGTTAAAATTGTTAAACTCAAATATTTAACAATGAGATTGAATTTCTATGGATATTTTATTGTCATGGAACTCACCATGAGATTATACAAATAAGAAAACTGAAATTTTCACAGGTTTTTCTATTTAAAATAAATGAAAATAATTTAACAGATAAGTTCAGTCATAAAAAAAAATAGGTAAAATTTGCAGGTGGGGGTTGAATAATTTGTGTGAAATAGCATGACCTTTGGTAGAATAAAAAAAGAAATATTGATTCATTATCAGTTTAAAAGATGAAGGTGTCCTGTTTATATTATCAATCTAGTATCAAATCAATGCCAGACTTTTACAGAGTTATTACCTTTTCTTCCAGTATTCATATATGTATCTTAATTTTCTTTTTAAACTTTTTTTTCTAACTTTTTCAATAGAGGTTTTTTTTTTTTTTCTAACTTTTTTCTGGATAGGATTTTTTCAGAAGCACAAACCTTCGAGTTTCACAATTATTAATCTTAAATGAAGGGACATATGTTTTCATTAATTTATGTAAATTTCTGTTCTTTAATTACAAGTGACTGATTCATTTTCTATGGCTTATTAACCTTTTTGCAGATTATTTAAAGTCAAAATATTTTTAGATTGTAAGAATTGGGGTGGGGGGATTATAATTTATTAATAAAAGTCTTACTAATTAACCTATAATTGTAAGGGGAAGAGGTGGATTCATACCTTTCCCCAAGGATATTTGTGCATAAGTGAATGCAATGAACTCAACTGGAATTGGAACTTAGCTCTCCAATGCTAATTACACCACCTGCACATCCAAGCTTATAGCACCTGGTATTCCCAAGTGATCACCCATCTAGGTACTGACCAAGCTCGACATTGCTTAACTTTGGTGATTTAATTACAAATGAATATATTTGTTTGTTATTTAAAAAGAAAAAAAAAGATGTTTGCATATGTAAAATTGTAAAGATCAATAATTTTGTAAAAGTCAGGGACTGATTTGACACTGAATCGATATTGTAAACAGGACCCTCTTTTCTAAATCAAAAATTTTTTTACATTTTGTTAAGTGTGGCAGCTTAAGTGGGAGGGGTCTACAAAAACAAAGTACAGTTCGGTCTGAACTGGGGGTGAAACACACATTACACCCACAACTGTTGTATTCAACATCAAAATGAAGTACCTGACACTGACTTACATGCTTAGGTATTTATGAACAAGGTATGTAGGTAAGGGGAGATTTTTAACATATATAAATAAATTATTTTACTTACCAAGGGTAGCAACAATCAGGTCAAGTTGGCCAGAATACACAACGACTTTCAACTTTTTGTATTTTATTAATTCATTTACTGTGATGAGAAATAAAAAAAGAAAAATAATCTTTGAAGTTTTAGTGTTTGTGAAGAAAAACTTCAAAATTCTGTATAAATTAAGATCCAGTAAAATGAAGCAGTTAAACAGATGGAAATTAGGCTGGTCACATTATTGGAATATATTCTATTAACTAATCAGCTTCAGACAAAATAAAACGTCTTTATTGAAAATTATTAATAAGATACAATACCACTACTAACTGGATACCAACTTAAAATAAAATTTAATCAACTCAATTTATGAAGAAAGATAAAATTTACACAGCATTTAAAACTTATCAAATTATTTTTTTTTCTTAATCATTTTACCCCAAGCAAGGCAATAAAGCCACTAAGATGCAAGGGGTTACTGAGGGTGAAAGAATGAGAAAGATTTTAAGCCGGTGATTCTCAACCACCATGCACAAGCATACTAGTGCAAGCCTCTTAAGTGTGCTGCTAAATATTGTCACATTCAATGCATACACACACACACATATATATATATATATATGTGTGTGTGTGTGTGTGCGTGTGGAAGTAGTAATGGTACAGTGTTATTATTTAAATAAATGAATAAGTATTCAATTTTTTTTTCAAATAATTCTTTTCACTATTCTTTTAAATACTTTGTTTCAATATTCATTTTTTTAAAATATTTTTATTTTTTAATTTAACTTTTTAAAAATTTTCTTTTATCTGAATAAATGAATATTAACCTTTTCTTTTCATACAATTGTATTAAACAATCTTTGTTTAATTCAAAAATTCTTACAGTTATATTGAATTATGAATTAATATCGTCAAAGTTTCTGATATGTAGCATCGAGCATTTGATTTAATAATTTTACATTTTTTTTTATCTCATAACATTTAAATGTAGATAGCTCCATGAAAAAGCTAAAAAAAAAAAAAACAATTATCTGCATATCGTGATGAAAATGTTATTCAAATGTAATGAAAACAGTTTTATCATCAAAATCTTCGTTATTAAGAGGAAAGATCAAAGTATTTTTTGATCATTTAATTGTTTTGATTCCTTTTTAGAACATTCAAAATTTTGATTAAAAACTTATTTTTTCTGCATCAGCTAACTTTTAGCATAGCAAATTTTCACCTCTTTTTTTGTCATGACAAAGATTAATTTGGAAATTCTTGCAAAAATCAAATTTTCAGATTTTAATGAAATTTTCAGGACTTATTCACAAATGAATGAAATTATTTTTTTTAAATATTTTTTATTAGAAACTCTTGGTAAAAATATTTTTTTCTAATGCGTTTCAGCCCTTTTTTAATTTAATGAAAACTTCAGAAATTCAACAAGATAATTTTTAGTGACTATATTAATTAAAAGCAGAATTCTTTCAAGAAATTAAATCACTGAATTTTTTTTGCAAAATTGAACCCGGTCTTAGAAAAAATCTGTTCTGAATCAAAAATAAAAAAAAACGCAATAAAACTAAGACATTATTTAATTAGAAAAGCTTTTAATTGCTTTTATGAATAAAGACAATATTGTCTGAAAGAAAAGCTCTTTTTAATGAAAAATGAATTTTTACAAGATTTGTTTACATTTAAAATGGAATAATTTAAAAAGTTTTTAAATCTCTTAAAATTCATTTTCAATGAAATAATAGCAATATTTCTTAAGAATTAAAATTATATTTACTAATTATATACTGTAAAGCTTATTACAATCTGATGACCCCAAATATTTGTAAAAGAATTTTGATTTGTTTTTATATGTGATTATGTGCAGAATTTCTGAAGTATGGATGTACAAACGATAAAACTAGCATTTAAAGGTCACATGTTTTAAGGGTTGTCCCCACCACCTTATGGTGAAAAGAAACTTTATCATCTGCTTCACCATACTTAACTATGTATACGTTCAGTTGTCAATTGAATTTAAATAAATCGATTAACATGTCAGAAAAACAAGACCCCATAGTTAAGAAATGTTTGTATACAACATTTTATGCTATAAGTAATATTTGTTTCAAATCAGATTAATTTAAGTTTAAATTTGCTAATTTTCGTCAAATAATGTTTCAGAAATATATATTTTATTTTTACAAGATTTTTAAAACTGAGAATTAACTTTTATTTACAAAAGTGTCAAAAAAAATGGCCATTTTATTGATCTTAATAATAAAAAAATGATTCTGATCAATATAATTTCCGTTTGAAATACACAATATATTTTGCTTCCTGGAAATAGTAAATTTTAAATCATTTAGCTTTCAATTAAAGCTAAAATAAAAGCTTCAAGAAAGCTTTTTCATTTTTTAAAAATCATTTTAAATCTTACAAATTAGTGGAGGTGCCTATTTAAATGTATACCCTTTAAAAGTTTTGCTAAGTGTGCTGTGATATTTTTATTTGCTCTTAGGTGTGCCATTGCTTTAAAAGGTTGAGAAACACTGTTTTAAGCATTTATAGTTATTAAGTTCTTAGACATTTGATACGCTTCAAGTAACACTTTAGAATTGAGCTGAGAATTTTTCTGTTAAATATTTGCATGTATTCTTATGTCTATTACTCTGACTATTGCACTATGTAGAAATAAAAGACTGGGAAAAATAAATAATAATGAATAATAAAAAGAAAAAAAAATCTTCACATGATGCTAAGAGTAAAGAAACCAGAAATAAAAATGCTGCATTTGGTTTTATCAAATGTTGTTAGGTGACGGCTGGATAAGTCTAAAAAAAAAAAAAAAAAAAAAATTTCCTGCCTGGTCTCTTTTCTCCTTTTTGTTTCAAGATGTAGAATCATGTGATAATTATCTTTGCACTGAAAAATGTTAGCTTCCCCAAGTTCACTGATGAGTGAATTCTCTCCCCACTTTCCAATGCATGGTGCTCACGTGGGTTTTTCCAAAAACCTCTAGGTACGAAATAATTCAAGCTTTCTCTTTGGTTGTTCCAACTTGGTGAAAGGCTGACTTGAGTGCGACAATTGTAACAATGCTTATATTGCCTTACCCTAACTCCTGGACCAAGAAAAAATATAAACCTATAAAAGTAAGTACAACCTTTCTTTTGGTTGTTCCAAATTTTTCTTTGGTTGTTTCCAAAAAGAATTGGACAAGTCAAGAAATAACTTAGCTATGACCATTAATATAATATGCTTATAAACCGAAAATTACCCTAAATTTCATACATGAACCAAAAATAATATGGACAGACTCAAGAAATAACATTGTTTCACTAAAAGCAAGTTTAAAAAATACTATAAAAATAATATATATATATATATATATTCATATATATATTAACAATAAACAAGACAATGAAGTAGAAGCCCAAGTTTTTTGCAATGCAGTCTTCTAAATTGTATAACAGGACATGAAATTTTCACATTTTTTTTCAACCTATAAAATTAAGAGAAAAATATAAGATTTTGTATCAAGGAAGAATGAGTCCATTTCCATCAAATGAAATTGTTGAATGAAAAGATGAAAGAAATACTAGTGAAAATGAATAATAATTGCCAATGGTTTCATCTAAAAAGGAGTTTTCAAAACTATATTGTGATTGGGCTCTTAAAATGGCAGTTGCAAAAAAAGAAGAAAAATGAAGATTTAATTTACCCAAAAAAAAATAATTTAATTTGCAATGTTTGTTCTAAGGATAAAATAGCAGGAGTTCATTCAAATTTCTCATTTATATTCTCTCTTCCTTATTTATGGATGGCAACTGCAATTAAAAGCAAGAGAAATGAACATGAAAGAAAATAAAAAACAGAATAAATTAAATTTCAGGACATTTATTTTAAAATTTTTTAATAATAAATAAAAAAAAAAAAACAAATATTTTTCCATTTTCATTTAAATAGAATGTTTTTAAGAAAAAAAGAAAATGAATTTTTAAAGCAAAATCTATTAAAATGTTTATACTTCCTTATTGGGAGAAAATAAAGTCTTAAAGTAGGAAAATGTTTAAATTCCATAAAAAATCCAGATTGAATGACAGAACCTCTGGACGAGCACAACTTTATAAAACTTGCCTTGTCCCCGCCAAAAAAGAGCCCAATTTGCTTAGCATGTAAAGCTACTGCAGTTGAAATGAGGGAGAAAAAAAAGCACTTTTGCATCTGCCGTAATCCATCCTCGGCCAGATAACGTAAAAAAGAATGAGGGGGGGACTGGCATTGCATTTTTATGCAATAAAAAAAGATGCAATGCATTATGGGACATGGACGCAATGAATTATGGGATCACAATGAAGACGCAAGGGATTATGGGTATATGAACAACTATAAAAACAACTACTTTTTTCCTCGGCCAGTCGGGGAGTTCTTCTAGTGACGGGTGTTGTTTTGAACGACCAGGGTTGGACTGGTTTTTTTGACTTCTGTTTTGTTTGCTTTTGGAATTTTTTTTGTGTACTGCTGGTCAGCGAAAAAAATTTGATTTACTTAACGACTTGGAAGAACCTTTTTTTTTTTGAAACACCGGACGTTTGCCTGATAAGTTATTGTTTTAGTTTCATTCTTTTTAATTTTTTTCTATTTCTTTTGTTTGTTTTTAATTTGTTTTTGGGCTTCGGCCACATTTTTTTTTTTTTTTTAGTCCGGTTTGACAAAGTCTTACCGGACGACTGCTTTTTTTTTTTTTTTTATTTTTCTATCAGTTTTAGAAAAAAGCGGAACAGTTTAGACAAAAAAAAAAAAAAAAAGAACCTTTTGTTTAATTTTTTTTTTTTTTTTAGCGACTTCAGTCGCTTTCTTTCTCCTTTTTTGTTTACGTTTGACTAGTTTATTTTTCTTTTAATTCATTTTCTTTAGCGGCGTCAGCCGCAAAACTTTATCCTTTTTATTCTTTTTTTTAGTACATTTGAAAGTTTTTGTGAAAAAAGAGGGAAGTTTTTGGTTTTTCTTTTATTTTCGGCTGCCTTCGGGCGCCATTTTTTATCTTTTTTTGTTTGTTTAAAAAAGACTTACCTGTTTATTTTCTTTCCGGTTTTTTTTTTTTTTTTATCATTTTTTTTTTA